CCCCCTTCTCACCAAACCTTCCCCCTCTATGATGACCATGTGGGTCATTGCCAGAAAAACATGATGGTGTGGGCTACACCTGTAGCTTACTCAGGTCAGCTGCCCTGGCTGACTCAAAACTTCTAATGACCTGCCTGGCATGGCTGGGCTGTGATTCTGTCCTAGTCCCACTCTGAAAAGGAGGATATTAAACCCATGATACTTTTCATAGAAAAGATTTTTTCCTTAATTGTTATGATTTTTGTCTTTCTACCTCTGTGCTGAGGGGAAATGTTTTAGTCCTCCTTTTAGTTGAGTGAAGTTGATCATCTCTTTGTGAGGAAAGGTGCTATATCAGGTTGGTATAAAACCCTCTGCTCTCTAGAATGTCATGCAGGCATTTGTATCTGAATAAGCTGCCTCAGTTCTGAGCTGCTCTGTTGTGCAAGAGAAAAGAAATAGGACTTGTACTTCCTACCCAGTGAAGCTGTGGTTCACAACTTCACAAGTCTTCTCTCAAAAAACACCAGCAACTTCTTAGATGAAGTGTATGAAGAAGCCCAAATGCTTCTTCCTCCATCCCTCAGGAGCCAGCAGAGCATTCCCTTGTATCTGCACCCTGCTTCTTCTGAGAGAACCCTCAGTTTTCCTGAGGAAGCTCTCAGAAGCCTATTTGCTCTATGACAAGCCCGGTAAGGGTGTGTAATAATGTTTAGCAGAAGTTCACAGGTACACAGGGAAGCACAGAATTCACTCTGCTCTCCCAAGCTGTGACAAGGCTTCTTTTTAACTAAAAACCAACGGCTGATCACATGGAGAAGGCTGAGGGGCCTTTGTTTTACCTCCTTACATTTTGAGTTGTACCTTTAAGCCACTTCTGCATTGTTCTGCACTTGGTCTGCTAGCTTTTGTATACGGATCTTACAGATGGCAAGAGGAGTCTAAGGAGAGCCTCAAGGAGAAAGGAGCAATATATATTAATCTCACTGGGACACGTTTGCTATCCTGACTTTGGCAAAGCTTTGACAAAAAGAATATTTTTATCAAGCCCTCTTCTTCTCAGGCATATGTCAGTGAAATGCAAAAGATTTTGCTTTGCCTTATTAAAATGGGAAACGAATTAGAAAATATTTGAAATATATTATTCTTCTATGATGTCTGGGGGTTTGGGCCATATGTATTGTAAGAAAAGAAGCTGATGTAGCATGTTCAAGCAAAAATTTCAAATTAATTCTGTCATGCTGGCTGTTTCTAGAGTGTTGGGTGGTCTGCTGTGGTATCTACAGGAGCGCTGTGGGAATCTTACACTGATGACTCAGATTGAAGTACTACTGGCTTGCAAAATGTTCAGAGTTGTTGATTCACAATCTGCAAATGGGTAAGAAACAGAAGCCAGACTTTCCTTCCAGCAGGACTGCTGTTGTTCTGTAATGTAAAGCAGTTCTGAGTCGACACTATTCAGACCCTAGCAGAATTTCCTTTCTATCCAGCTTTATTAACCTTTCTGGGAAATTTATTTCTGGCTGCTAGAATTACAGCTGGGGCCTGTGACTAGTAGCTTTTTTGCCCCTGCCTGTTGCATATATAGGGAGGTGTCACAGTTCATAGCTTCTCTCTGCAGCTCCATGACAGCAGCTGCCCACTGTGGCAGGAATCTATGCCATCAATTTTATTTCATCAGCCTCCTGGCAACATTCAGTGCAGTGCATTGTGAGTATGCTTTGTGTTCTGGTAGTATTTGATAGGACAGTGAGAGGTTTTGGGGATCTTTTGGGTTGATACACAGAATGAGGCAGCTGGTGATGTCAGCAGATGGTTACCTAGGATGTGAGGGGGGAGGATGTTAGAGCACACCTGGGAGCTGGGATCCAAGACACAAATAGGTAATGTGCTGTTTTACCTCTCCTGAATAAAGCAGTAAATACAGCTGCAATCAAAGCCAAAAGCCAGTTCGTTACAGAACATTTCATTGGGAAGAAGTGAGTGAAGCCATGTGGGTGTCAGCTCAATTCCTGACAAATTGTCTGAGCCTAAAACATTTCAAATAAGCCAGGCAGCACAGCAGCAGGACTTCTGTGAATTGCCACTTCTTATTCCCATTCTCAGAGATACCAGTATTCTTTGCTTAGGTCTTGTGTGGGATTTTCACATCATCCTTTGAAACAGTTGGACTTGGCCACTGGTGGAGTTTGGATTTTGGTTAGTTGGCTTGCTGGATGTTTCTGCCTTCCTGTGTTTGACAGGCATAGAATCATAGAATTGTTTAGGTTGGAAAAGACCTTTAAGATCATCAAGTCCAACCGGTAACCTAGCACTGCAAAGTCCACCACTAAACCATGCCACTAAGCACCACATGTACACAGCTTTTAAATACTTCCAGGGATGGTGACTCCACCACTTCCCTGGGCAGAGTATTCCAATGCTTAGCAACCCTTTTGGTGAAGAAATTTTTCCTTGTGTCCAATCTAAACTCCTATGGCACAACTTGAGGCCATTCCTTCTTGTCCTATCACTTGTTACTTGGGAGAAAAGACCAACACCCACCTTGCTACAATCTCCTTTCAAGTAGTTGCTGAAGGTAGAGGTAAGGTTTCCCCTCAGCCTCCTTTTCTCCAGACTAAACAATTCCTTTTCCCTCAGCTGCAACTTGTAAGACTTGTTCTCTAGACCATTTACCAGCTTCATTGCCCTTCTCTGGACATGCTGCAGCATCTCAATGTCTTTCTTGTAGTGAGGGGCCCAATACTGCACAGAGTATTCGAGGTGCGGCCTCACCAGTGCTGAGTACAGGGGCACGATCACTTCCCTACTCCTGCTGGCCACACTATTGCTGATACAGGCCAGGACACTGTTTGCCTTCTTGGCCACCTGGGCACACTGCTGGCTCATGTTCAGCTGGCTGTTGACCAGCACCCCCAGGTCCTTTTCCACCAGACAACTTTCCAGCCACTCTTCCCCAAGCCTGTAGCGCTGCATGGGGTTGTTGTGACCCAAGTGCAGGAGCCAGCACTTGGCCTTGCTAAACCTCATACAGTTGGCCTTGGCCCAGTGATCCAGCCTGTCCAGATCCCTCTGCAGAGCCTTCCTACCCTTGAGCAGATCAACACTCCCGCCCAACTTGGTGCCATCTGCAAACTTGCTGCGGGAGCACTTGATCCCCTCATCCAGATCATTGATAAAGTTACTCGACAGAACTGGCCCCAGTACTGAGCCCTGGAGAACACCACTTGTGACCAGCTGCCAGCTGGATTGAACTCTGTTCACCACAACTATTTGGGCCCAGCCATCTAGCCAGTTTTTTACCCAGTGAAGAGTTCACCTGTCCAAGCCATGAGCATCCAGTTTCTCCAGGAGAATGCTGTGGGAAACAGTGTCAAAGGCTTTACTGAAATCCAGGTAGACAACATCCACAGCCCTTCCCTCATGCACTAAATGGGTCACCTTGTCATAGAAGGAGATCAGGTTAGTCAAGCAGGACCTGCCTTTCATAAACCCATGCTGGCTGGGCCTGGTCACATGGTTGTCCTGTATGTGCCGCCTGATAGCACTCAAGATGATCCGCTGCATAACCTTTCCCAGCACTGAGGTCAGACTGACAGGCCTGTAGTTCTCCAGATCCTCCTTTTGGCCCTTCTTGTAAATGGGCATCGCATTTGCTAACTTCCAGTCAACTGGGACCTCCCCAATTAGCTAGTACCGCTGATAAATGATGGAAAGTGGCTTGGTGAG